AACCTCACGCTCCGTAGAGCGATCCCGAGCTCCTCAAAAACTCGATTGAGCCATGGCATGATGCCGGACACGGCTCTCCGAGACATGTACTCACGCCGGAAATTTTGCCGACCAACCCGATAGCAGCTTCCTCAACCTCGAGACTTAAAGCTGTCCTCCGTTACCCTCGCCCAAAGACTGGCCGAAGTGGGGGAACGGAATCCCAGCCTCCGGCCCAAAAACAGGAATCTTCACCATTTCAAGCCTAAAGGGTGGATTGTCTCCTTTAAGGGGCCAATAGTCGGAGGCCATGATCTCCTCCACCAGATCGCGGCCCCCGGAGTAGCGGCACGCCAACGCGAAGGCCCGGTCACAGGCCTCCCTCGCCGGAGATACCGCCTCCGGTGGCTCCACGCGCGTATGCGGCGCCATAGCCTCCATCCTTGAAGTCAGTGGGTACTCCACGACCTCCACGCCATCGTCGGTGGTGCCACGAACCCTGTAGGTCTTCACGTAAAACCACCCCTCGAGCCAGCCGTGGTCCCATTTGCCCTTTTGGAAAAAAGAAATCTCCAGGCGATCTATGCCTTGGTTCCTCTTCGCCATGAAGGTACAACTACCATACTGGCAGACCACCTCCACCTCCTTGCCGTCCCGCATCTCTTTCCTCTTCTTGGTTGTTTCGTAGCTCGTAGTAGGTGCGGGAAGGTGTCCACATCCCGCTCGGCGCCATAAAAAGCACACGCCCCAGCAGAATTTCTTGGCGTAAGGAAGGCCGTAGGGGTTAGATGGTGGAGCTGGACGTTGAAGGTCTCAACACCCGGCGGAGGAAGGGACCGTAAGGAAGGCGGAGGCCCTGACGAAGAAGTCACGAAACACCACCGCATATCCCTCCTCCGGCTCCGGAGCAGTGCCAGCAGACGGAGGGATCCTTACCCTAGAAGGTGGAAAATACGACTCCTTCGACATCTCCACGACCGCCTCTTCAGTAATGGAGGAGGGGCCGAGGTCCCATGACTTTATCGCCATGTCTCCAGAATCCGCAGCGATCAGGTCTCCGATGGACGCGGAGACACTCCCCAAATCTTCCTCCAGCAGATTCTCAAAATCCAACGCGGACGCTGGAGGCAAGCATGCACTCCTCGAAAGCGTGCAAATTACCGCTTTGCCCTAACACCAAGAAGGTGGCGATAGGGACCAAGAAGGCAGGGCCGGCGAGTATGGGCGAAGGTGGAAGAGAGAGCCACCGCGATCGCAACCACAGAGGAATGCGCAAGCGAAAGAAAGAACGCAGCGGACGCGCCGACTCAGCTTGAGCAAAAAGCGAGAGAAAGCGGTGTCTGGCGCCGCAAGGCAAGCAAGCGAGTCGTGTGGGGGACCCCACCACCAACCTCGCCCTTATATAGGCCTTGGGCGGGTGGCTCGGCTCCGCCGAACAACGGTCATCTCGGATCATCAGCCCGATGGCGGCAGCGGTCTTCTCCGGATAGTTCGCTGAAGCCCAGCGGTCATCTCCGGATAAAATGCAAGGTGCGCAGCGGCTAGGTTTAAACGGCCACCGACAAGACCAATGGCCGCGCCAGAATGGGTCAGGGGGGAACCGGCGGGGATCGGTCGAAGACATGACTGCGCGTAGTCACCGCCCCCAACCGGCGAGGATCGGTCAAGACGTGAATGCGCGTAGTCTCCGCCCCCATGGACGTCCTTGTTTGGGGGGCATTTTTGAGCTCACGACACTCAAAGCGGACCGTGTGGTCTCAAAGGGGGAATCTGTTGTAACATGGCCACCACGGGTGGCGGAGACCCAGCAGTCCGCGGAGGATACGAGGGCACCTCCGGCCAGAGGGCGAGGTGCGCCGCCTCCAAACTAATTAAACAACGATCTTGCCTAATTGTGTGCGGTACTCAAGCGTGGGCGCTGGGGACGCATGCTGAAGGCTTGCCACTGCCCCGCTGCTGCCAAAGCGGAGGCTGTGGATGATGCCTCCGACCGGACCGGCGGAGACCCGCCAGGGCGACGGTGCGTCCCTGAAGGCGGAGGCCAGCGTCGACAGCCATGGCCCCCGTGCGGCCGGGCGAAGACCCACGGGAGATGTCTCCGACCAGCCGGCGGAGAACCGCCGAGATAGCGTGGCGCCCCTGGAGATGGGGGCCAGCACCGGGGACCCAGGCCTTTGGGCCGAAGACCGAAGCATGGTGGGCCGACTGCTCATGGAGGCCCATTACTCGGAGACGGTATGGCAGGATTGCCCCGCAAACGAGAGGCTAGCGGCGGAATATTCCAGGAATGTATTGTAGCAGTTGAGGGGCATTGTAATAAGTTATGTCGTGAAGTAGTTGAGCCCTATAAATAGGGAACACTTGTAACCGTGCAGGGGGTGGTTGGAAAATGCATTAATGAAACCCTAGCTTTCCGTGCCCTTTCCCTTACACGCCCAGCGATCGTTCCTGTTAACCGAGCCTCCGCCTGAGGACAGTCGTCCACGGGCGGAGGCCCCCAGTTACCTGTCTGAAACCGCAAGTTTCAACACTTAGGCAACAAGGTTAATACAAAAGGAGGCCCTAATAAGCACTACTTCTAGATAGGTTTTGCAAGCCTAGGGTGAAAGCCTACATAAGTCTAGTGATTAAGCTAGCTAAGCTAAGTCTCTACTCTAGGAAAGTAATTGTTCAAATGAAATAAGAGTAGAGGAAGGCAAACCACAACAGAGACAGATTTATCCCCGTGGTTTGGTTACTTGTTGGCAACCTACGTCCATGTTGAGGCAACTCCTAGGATCACCGCTTCTCTATCAAGTCTCAACCCCCGCGTGGTTGCCTCTTCCACCGAGGGCTTGATCTCTAGGCCTGACTCGATCACAAGGCACTCTTCAAGCCTCTATTCCACTAGAGTTGCTATTTGCCTCACCAGTAGGGAATGAGCACAAGAGCTCCTCACAAATCCTCCTCCGGAGCGCCACACAATCTTCAATTTGTGTGCTCGATGGAGTCCTGCTGCTCCAAGCCGTCTAGGTGACAGCAATCACCAAGAGTTACAAGCTAGCCCTCAGCAAATTCGATCCCTAGTGCCACTCAAGCAATCTCTCAAATCCTAAGAACTAGAATCACTCCAATCTTGTGAGTGGAGATGTTAATCTTAGCTCTAGATGTGTGCTATATGATCACAAGGTGCCAAGAGGTCTAAGATGACCAGCCAACACAATTATATATAGCCCCCACACAAATAGAGCTGTTACTACTTCTCACTTAGTTGAAAACGTACTCTTAAAATGATCTGGTGGATGCACCGGACAAGTCACTAGAAGATTCTCCAACAATAACTGTCCAAAAGTCAAGACATGCGTTAGAGACTCCAGTGAGTCATCGGGTGCAGCACCCGATGATCTGGTGCCTTAAATCTGCCTCACCTACGCGGTTAGATGCCTCTGTAAGAAGCTCCAATGTATAGTCCGGTGGTAGCATTGGACGATCTGATGCCCTTACCTCCAACTCACCTGAGAAACACCTGTCTCTGTAAGGTCTAGTGGACCCATCCAGTGACTCCACCCAATGATCCAGTGACGCCCTTTGAACTTTCCTGCTCGCTCAGCCAACATACAGTGCAAAGAGTGCACCAGATGCTCCGGTGCTCACTGCAGGCCTCTACCGGCAATGATATACCACCGTTGGGCTGTGGCTCAACCCGACAACAGCCGCACTATATCATTGCCGATTCATGATCAACCCAGCAATGTCCTAGCTACAGTATAAAACCACAACCCCTTCTTTCTCCTCCCTCCCATCCCGAACACACCCATCCAAGGAGGGATCTTTTCCCATCTCCAAATGCTCATGGACATGATCTCCTTGGTTTAAGGTGGGTATGAAACTCTCAAACTATAACTGCCAGGTGGAGTCTTGATCCAACAGCGACCCTCATTCTGTCATTGTCGGGTTGAGGCACTAACCAACAGCAATAACTACCTATCGCTGCCGGTTTGCGACCAGGTAGTGATACCCTCATCCATCACTACCGACTACTATCCTCTACCAGCTCCGCTTCCGGCAGTGATCCATTTGATCTGGGGTAGTGTGTAGCTATTTTGGTAGTTTGAGGATTGGAAATTTTGATGTGGTGCATCCAACTTATGTGGAATTGGACCATTTCACATTGGCCAAATTTGCTAGGCACCACTTGTGGTGTCAAACAGTCACATCTCTCCATTGCAAGATTTCCCAAAAAAAAGGGAAATGAGATTTATGAGTTGTTGTTTAATTGCAGATGAATCTTCTGGACTTGATTGGAGCACATGCTACAAAATAATTAAGGGGGTTTGCTCTGGTTTACATTACCTTCATGAGGAATGTAGACCTCAAAATAATAATGCTTTCGTCATTCACTTGGACCTAAAACCTGCTAACATATTGCTCGATGAAAATATGGTGCCAAAAATTGCAGATTTTGGTCTGTCAAAACTTCTTTATGATAAGAAAACTCAAACTTGCCCCGTTAAAGGAACACGGTAAGTTAGTAATCTATTGATACTATATTGCTTAGAAAATCCTTTTTTCATTCGAGCTTGCTTTAGCTTAACCCTTTAAAGTTGATGAAACACTCATGTTGTGATGCAGTGGTTACATGGCACCAGAGTACATAAGTAAAGGTAAAATATCAACTAAGGCAGACATATACAGTTTGGGTGTAGTAATCATAGAGATCATAATAGGTTGCAAACCTTATCCTGATATCGAACAAGTAAGAAACTGTTCTTTTGCACATTCAATGTATCTGACGGTCCATTTTAATTATCTTTTTTGTTTTACCACTGCATAGTATCAAACTTTTGTTAATATTTTTCAGATAATTAACAAATGGAGAAACAGGTCGGCAGAAGCACTATCATCCGTAGATTGCCAACAGATAAGAAGTTGTCTTGAAATAGGTAAATGCTGCATGAAAAGCGAACGAAATGAAAGGCCAACTACGGGGGAAATTATGAAGAAGCTTGGTTTGGAAAGCATAGAATGCAGTCTCGACAGCGATGAAGGGCCCCTTTGCAAAAAAAACAAAAAGAAGTTGCCACACGCCTCCTGAAAACCAGGTATTATGACTTCAGAGAATCAATTAATTTGCTTGACGCCACTAACACTCCCAATGTTGGGTGGCCGTAGCTATTTCCAAAAGTAGATAGACAAGGCAAGAAAAACATTATCAGAATACGTTCTCTACATGCTAACATATAATGGGGCCACTGACTATCCCCTGATGCATATTTTTTGTTTCTTGTCTAGTATAATTTGAGCCTAATTTTTTATTGCACAAGGTACTAGCTCTTTTGGTTTCCTCATAAAATTCTTGCCACATTAGCTTTCATCCTATGTGGACGTGCACTAACATCTATAAGACATATATAATAAGGCAAAGTGGAGCACTAGGAGTGGCCTAGCAGTTTATATTTTATATATAAGAGTATGTAGTAGAGCACTGGGTGGAACATACTTATTTTTTCTCTATAATCTATATTAATTATTACTGCCTTCCAGGAAGAGGAAATTATTATGAAGATTAAGGAGCACGTGGAGAAGTTGCGTGAGAAGAGCAGAGAAGTCCGTGACAAGATTGAGCTTGCCAAGGGAAATGGCATGGTAGCAACAAACAAGATCGAAACTTGGCTGGCTAGAGCAGATACCATCCTATCTGACGGGATGGCTGTCTGTGAGTCCAAGCAAACTAGGTTAAACTGGGATACTAGAATTGCCGCTGCACAGCTTTCTCAGCTGCGAGAATGTCTCAGTGATCAACCCAGTGATATTGCACAGCCGCCATTTGTCCTTCATATTGATGTCCACGCTGCTCTACTGCCAAGTCAGGTGCTTTTTGTTGAACAAGCTCGCCAGCACATCATTGAGGATACAGAGGGGATGATCGGAATATGGGGTCCAGTTGGTGTTGGGAAAACACTCCTTCTCAAGGCGATCAACAATTCATTTGAAACAAGAAACTCCTTGATTCCTAGTTCATCAAATAGAAGGGACCCTCCATTTGACTTTGTTATCTATATGACAGCCTTAGAAGACTGTTCGGTGCAAAGTATCCAATCTGAAATTATTCAACGGCTCAAAATGCAGGACCGCGGTGATTCATTAACCACTCAAGCCACCAGGATATCTAAATTCCTTCATGATAAAAGTTTTCTTGTTTTGCTAGATGGCCTTCACTACAATCTGAACCTAGCAGAAGTTGGCCTACCAACCCTTGGAAATCAAGGCCAATTGAAGCGAAAAGTTGTAATCACAACAAGATCACGAAGCTTGTGTGATCAGATGCGTGTGAACAGAACTATAAATGTCCCCGGCCTAAAAATTGATGAAGCACTTGAGCTGTTCCAAGAATGTATTGGTAATGATCGTCTTTATTCTGAACCCCGCATCGGAGCACTTGCAAAAGATCTCGTGGAGCAACTAAGAGCTCTACCATCAGAACTGATAAGAATAGGCAGCGCAATGCGCGGAAAAGGGGAACCAGGACAGTGGCAGAATATCATTGGTGTTGCCAAGGAATTGATGCATATCAAGGATCAAGAAGCATCATTGCTGGTATGTCTTTACAGTTAACTCAAATTTGGTAACAACATTTTTGCTAACTTATATTTGTCACTAGTTACTAATATTAATTAATGCCTTCCAGACAGAGAATTGTTATTACAAAGCTTAAGCAATGTTTGCAAAACTTGCGTGGGAGGAGAAATGATGTCAATCACGAGATTGAGCTTGGAAAGCGAGAGGGCAAGGTAGCAACACATCAGATCAACAACTGGATGGCTAGCGTGGATACCAACATCTCTGTTGGGATGGTTATCTGTGAATCTGAGCAAAATGAGTTAAACTGGGATCTCAGTGTGATTGCAGCTGGCATGCTTCGTCGGCTCCAAGAATGCCTCGGTGGTCAACCCAGCGTTGTTACAGTGGAAGCATTGCCACCTTCCGTCCAAGAGATGCCATGTTCGTCAGCAGCCTTCCAGAGTTGAAATATTTGGAGAGGCTATGGAGTATATTAAGCATAGTTTAGTGGGTGTCATTGGAATCTGGGGGCTGGGCGGAGTGGGCAAGACCCATCTTCTGACAAGGATCAACAACGCTTTTCTTGGGGACTCATTATTTGATCATGTTATCTTCGTTACGGCCTCCAAAGAGGGTTCAGTGGAAACAATCCAAGACGAGATTGGCAAGAAGCTCAAGCTCAAGTTACCGGAAGGCGATGATGTTAAATCTCGAGCTGACATCATTTTGGGCTTCCTGAAAACAACAAAATTTCTAATACTATTAGATGACGTTTGGAACCGGATTGATCTGGAAGCAGTGGGCATACAGTATCCCCTTGGAAGAAGCAAAGTGGTTCTCACAACAAGATCAAAAACGGTGTGTGGTCAAATGGACGTAAGAAAAGAGATCAACGTGGCATGCTTGCTAGATGATGAGGCCTGGCAGCTATTTCAAGACAAGGTCGGACAGGGGACTCTATCTTCCAGTCCTCGTATTGAAGCTCTTGCAAAGGAACTTGTGGAGGAAATGAAGGGCTTGCCATTAGCTTTGATAACTGTCGGAAGGGCAATGTACGGCAAAAGTAATCCGAAACAATGGGAATCTGCCATGCAACACATGAAACAGTCATGCTGTGGCGGGGATGATCAGGACCTCCGTATGGAAAATACTGTTTTCAGACGACTCAAGTTCAGTTATGATAGCCTAAGAAATGAAACCTTGAGACAGTGTTTGTTGACTTGCTCACTATGGCCAGAGGATGAAGTGATTCTGACGGGGGACCTGATACGATGCTGGATTGGCTTAGGTCTAGTTGACGAGTGTGATATACATGGTTCCTACAGAAAAGCACATTCTCTAATAGGTGAACTTACAGCTGCATGTTTGTTAGACAGTTGTGACACTGGGTTCCACGAGCAGCATGTTTACATTGATCATAGAACATTCTTTAACCATCAGGAATTGCCAATTGAAGTTGGTGTTAAGATGCATGATGTGATCCGTGATATGGCTATTTGGATATCTTGTGGCTGCAGTGACAACAAGGACAAGTGGGTCGTTCGTGCAGGAGTTGGTCCAAATCTGTCTATACGCACCATTCCTTGGCGCGGAGCCGAATGCATCTCATTAATGTCCAGTAGAATCGGGGAGCTTCATCCGTTTACTGGCTCCACAAATCTCAAGAGGCTATACCTTCATCAGAATCTTTTGGATGAGAGGATATTTGGAGCCATTCAGAGTTGCACTGAGCTGACATACCTAGATCTAAGCGCTAACAGAATCAAGCAGATACCTGAAGAGTTATTTGCCTTGGTAAACTTGGAGCATCTGGATTTGTCATGTAATGAAGAGCTAACGACAGTTCCCAAACGCCTTAGAGAACTTACTAAGCTCAAATTCTTATATCTAGCACGCACAAGCATAGAGGTGATTCCGACGGAGGTCATATCCTGTCTTACAGAATTGCAAGTGATTGACATAATGATAATTAATGGCAGAATTATAAGTCTAAAATAATGCAAGAGTTGTGCACCCTTCCAAACTTGAAAGCGGTTGATATGGTCGCTAAAGGTGATGATGGATATGAATCACTACGGAAGGCAGCTGGCATCCCCATTAGGGATTTGATCATATACAGATTGGAAGAAACTGAAGGACCGGAAACGGCGACCAGAGGGGGGTGAATGGGAGCCTCAAATTTCTTCCGAAATCTTCAACCACTGTCCCAACATCAATCCCCAAAAACCATACACGAAAGACTTGATGACCGCGATCCTAGAGAAGGGTGGATGCTCCCTCAGAACACAGCGGGTCACCACAGAGCAAACGGACCACAGATCGAAGCCCAAACGAGCAAACTCCCAAAATAAAACAGCACTGCTTCTGCAAATATCGGACACGTCCGGTATTATATCGGACACGTCCGGTATTTTCGGACACGTCCGGTATGATCTCGGACACGTCCGGGATTTTCAGCAGCAAGCTGACCAAAAGAGAAAAATCCGAAACCCCATCAAACGGTGTCCAAAAATCATGAAATTTTAACCATAGCTCTTTAGACACCAAGGGAAGATCTCCACAAAAATTCAGCTCAAAACTCCAAAGTGAGAAATATCGGACACATCCGGTATGATATCGGACACGTCCGGTATGAACGAGCAGTTTCTCGGGAAAAATTAAATCAAGCCATAACTTGATCAAATCAACTCCAAATGACTTGAAACTTTGCACAAGAGTTCACAAGCGAGTAGAAAGGCAACCTCTAAAAGATCATAGCCCGAGACAAACTCTAACTCCGTGAATCGAAGGAATTAAAGAAAACCCCAAAAAAATAGGTCAAGAACTAAAATTGCCCGGATCTGCGATCTCGTGAGGAATTAGTGGATTTCCTTCGTGGAAAGCTTCTACTCATGTCTTGATCGATCCAAGGCAACAAGAACGAACCGAAACCATCCCAAATCGAAGAAACGAGAGGGGAAACAAGAAGGGACAAAAGGAGCTCGTGAAGAACACCAAAATCACATCAAGAACACAACTAAATCATGAATCCCGGAGGACATACGGTGGTTCTGGCCACCGATTCCTTCAAAACCAAGTCACAATTTGAGTTGTGGACCCTCTCATACATGGAAGCAAACTAGAGGAAGAAACCCTAAAGGAGAAAATGAAAGCGGAGGAGGTTAGGAAGATGGGGCTCCCTCATCCTATATAACAGGCTATTACACATTCCCAGGTTTGCCTCGGATACAAATGAGTTGAACCGCTAAGCCCAAGGGCGTTGTTGTCCAACCGGTGTAATCTTGATCCGACGCCATCAAGCGCCTTTCTCATCGGTAGCCGCGCCGACGCGAACTCCCCAATGCCGCCACGTGCCATCCGTCCCTCCTCGGAACCTCCGCCCGGGTTTTGAGGCCCAAACGTCAGAAATCGTCCATCCGATGGTTTTGAGGTCCAAACCATCAAACCGTCATGAGTAGCGTACTCCATACGCATCCCCCGCCATCCGACGCGCGTGTCACCGCCGTCCTCGACCGCCGCCCGCCAAGTCCTCCCGAGCCTCGCCGACTCACGCGTCCCGCCGTCTTGACCCGATCAACACCGTCACCCCATGTCTTCTTGCACTTGTTGATGTCCCAAGTGTCGCCCACCATGCTAGTCACCCGCCCTCTGGGTCCCTCGGTCCAAGCCTCATGTCCGTCCTTCACGCTCCCGGTCCGTCGCACGCAGACGTCCTCCTTGACCTTCACCTCGCCGTCGACCACCGCATCCGAGCTCCACACCTGCACAACACAAGCCAAAAGACATGTCGCACACATAGCTTTCGCCATGGTAGGGTTAGTCACCACTCAACCTACTTCGTGGATCACATTGACAATCACTCATCACAAAACGAACACACAAGGGTACTTGTCAACCTTGTGTTCGCAATCTCCCCCTTGATGAGTGCATTGTCAACACCAATACACGAACAACTTTGAGCAAAAAAGAAAAGAAGAAGAAGAAAAGAAAGAACTCACCCAAATGACCAAAAACCAAAGAAAAGCCAAGAACCGGGTCATTTGAAAATGAGCAAAACTTGGTCCCCAAAGACATGGGCAAGGGCTCGACGCAACCAAGTAAAACAAAACTAGCCCTCAAGAAGAGGCAACGGGCTCAACACCACTAGCAAAGCTCGAAAAACCGAAAAACTGCTAGACCCTCCAGAAGAGGCAAAGGCTCAACACATCTAGCAAAACACCTCAAATGCAACTCCCCCTGAACAAGTGCAATCTCTCTCAAATGAATGCATATCTCTCAACTTTAGGTGAAATTGGAAGTTTCTTCCCCTTGTGTCATTGTGAGTGTGGAAAACTTCTCCCCCTTGTTAACACATGCACTTATCAAGCTAGAGCCCAAAGATTGCATCTCCCCCTCAAATCATGCTATGAATGCAGAAATGCACGAATGCAGAAGCTTCAAGATTATAGTAAGTAGATTGAAAAGAGGCTCTAGTTGATGCTGTCATGTATATATAGCAACACATAAAAGTGCTAGCAAATGCTCAAAGTGACCAAATGAGACGAAATATGGCATTTAAGCAATTTTGATCAAGTTTGAGCAATTTTAAAAGAGGGTTCACCACCAAAGGAGCACATAGCAAAAATAGACAGGAGATCGACCTTGTGCTACACATGTATGCAAAGTGAACTACCCCAAACAAAGTTCACACACCATGTCATGAGACAAACTTGTGGTTTGATCAAATTTTAGACACCAATTGAAATTTATCAGAGTTATGCAGCTTATTACCAAAGTTTGTCGACAAGTGTAAAAGGGAGGTTATCTGTGCCACCAAAACCTGACTTAGCGACCATGTCAAGCCTATGCCAAAAGCAATCGAAGCTTAAGACAATGATCTCGGTATCCATTACAGAGCTCAAGTTCACCAATAAGTGCAATTTGGAGCTGTCTCGATACTCTGACATAGGATAGTACAGACCCATCCCGATCTTTTCAAATCACTGAGTTTGATTTTCAAGTTTTAGCACAAATTCAAGTTTCTCAAGCAAGTGTGTAACTCAAAGTATGAGCCGTAGCAACTAAGCATATATATGAAGCAAAGAAGATCTCGACACATTCTACACATGCTAGTTGCCACAAGTAGTGGTGAACACATTTCATGTTTTAACAAGTTTTAATCAAGTTCACAGTTTGGAAAACAAGCTTAGCTCATAACATGCATCAATTGATCAAAAGGAGCCTAAGTCAATAGCACATCATGTATATCCATACCATCCCCAACAAGAGCATAGTGTCAATCTAGCTACTATAAGGATGAAGCTCAGGATGCAGTATGATACATGATGATATGATATGCAAGTATGATGTAAAAATAAAAACAAAAGCTAAACTACAAAGAAAAGCAAAACTAGAATACAACAACCAAAGTTCCCCTCCTCTAAAAAGGGAAACAAACTCCAAGCTCCCCTCGCAAGCGAGCAAACTGGGCTTGGTCAAGTGGTTTGGTGAAGATATCTCATGAAAGCTGGTTTTGGGTATCAATGTGGTGTGAGATCAATATCACCTTTCTCATAGTGGTCACGCAAGAAGTGAAAGCGAACTTCTATGTGCTTTGTCTTTGAGTGAAGGACTGGGTTTTTGGCTACACTTATAGCCTTGGTGTGTTGTCACAAAACAAAGGCACTCGCCTAAACTCTAACCCAAAGTCTCTCGAGTAGCTATCATCCAAAGCAACTGGGAACAACAAATGACCGCTATATACTCAAACACTGTGGTGGATTGGGCGACGCTTAGGCGCTTGTAGAAGACCAAGACACAAGAGAAGATCCAAGAAACCGACAAGTCCCTCAAGTGGACTTCCTCTCAACACGACAACCAAAGCATAATCCGTGATCGAATACCCAAAAAGAGAAAGAGAGGAGGAGGCCGAAAACCAAAGACCAAACTCGGGTGTGAAACGAAGGTACCTGAGGATCCGCTTGATGGCTTGACGATGAGACGTCTTGTGGCGAAGATCGAAAGCACAAGACAAGCAGATCATGAATCTGGATGTCCGGTCTCTCGCCGTTAGGGTAAAGCAATGAGGACCCGATCATGCTTCGGTATTCCTTCGGTCCACGGCTTCTCCTCCTTGTCCTCTCATCAGGTCGTCGTGGTTGACATGGGCGTTGAAAGAGGCTTGGCCTCACCCATATCAAATTTCTTGAGCACGTCCTTGGTGTACTTGCCTTGATGCACGAACGTCCCCTCACGAGTTTGCTTGATTTGCGGCCCGAGGAAGAAAGTCAATTCGCCCATCATGCTCATCTCAAATTCCTCGCTCATAGTATCTCGAAAACTTGGCAACAAGAGCATGAGAAGAGCCACCAAAGATTATATCATCCACGATATCCGAACCAAAAGGATGTCTGTGCCTTGCTTGAGGAGGAACAAAGTCTTATCTACGGAACCCATCCTAAAACCCTTATCAAGCGTGAAAGCTTTCAAACGCTCATACTGGGCTCTCGGGGCTTGTTTCAAACCATACAAGGCTTTGTGAAGTTTAAAAACATGGTTGGGGTACTTTGGATTTTCAAAGCCAGGGGTTGCCTCACATAAACCTCTTCCTCTATGTACCCATTCAAGAAGGCACTCTTCACATCCATCCGACATGACTTGAACCCTTTCAAGTGCAAATGCTAAAAGAATCCTAATGGCTTCTAGACAGGCAACAGGAGCAAAGGTTTCTTCATAGTCTATTTCCTCTTTTTGGCAAAAAACCCCGAGCCACTAATCTCGCCTTGTTTCTCACCACCACCCCATCCTCACTCGCTTGTTCTTGTAAACCCACTTTGTACCTATGGGGTGGCACTCGTGGAGGTGGAACTAAAACCCACACTTGGTTCCGCTCAAAGTTCTCTAACTCCTCGTGCATAGCATTAATCCAATCGGCATTAGATAGTGCGTGTCCAATATCTCGAGGCTCAAAAGAAGCTCTGAAAGCGTAATGAGCGAAATGGGAAATATGATAAGACTTG